GCTGGTCGGGGGTGGGAGTCGGGGGCAGTGAGGCTGGCCGTGGGAAATCAGGAGGAGGAACTGGCTGGTGGAGGGGAGAGGGAATCGGCCGGCGGGGAGCCGGACTCACTCGGGCACCTGCAGATCCCAGGGTGCTGCCCACCCCACTCATGCATCCCTGACGGAGACAGAGGAGAGCAGAGAGAGAGTGAGAGGCAGGAGGGGGAGAAGAGAAAGAGAGAGACAGAGTGGAGAGAGAGTGAGAGGCAGGAGGAGGAGGAGAAGAGAAAGGGAGAGTGAGATGCAGGAGGGAGAGAAGAGAAAGAAAGAGACGGAGAGAGAGGCAGAAGGCAGAGGAGAGCTGAGAGAGAGGGGGGGAAGCAGGAGGAGGAGGAGAGAGAGAGAGAAATGAGAGGCAGGAGGGGGAGAAGAGAAAGAGAGAGACAGAGTGGAGAGAGAGTGAGAGGCAGGAGGAGGAGGAGAAGAGAAAGGGAGAGTGAGATGCAGGAGGGAGAGAAGAGAAAGAAAGAGACGGAGAGAGAGGCAGAAGGCAGAGGAGAGCTGAGAGAGAGGGGGGGAAGCAGGAGGAGGAGGAGAGAGAGAGAGAAAGAGACACAGAGCGAGAGACTGGAAGCTCAGGAGAAAAGACTGACGTGGAGGAGAGACCTGAAAATCCTGTCTTATGATTGGCTAATCGGCTAGTTAGAACATAAGCTTTCGTGAGCTACAACTCACTTCCTCAGATGCTGAAGAGAAAAGGACAAAAAAAGGATATAGAGATGGGAGTTTGACAGCTCTGCCAGCTCTGTATTCCTTCCTTCCTTCCTTCCTTCCTTCCTTCCGAGGAAGTGAGTTGTAGTTCATGAAAGCGGATGCTCTAATACTCTAATATATTTGTTAGTCTTTAAAGTGCCACTGGACTTGTGTTTGCTGAAACAGACTAACACAGCTAGCTCTGTGAAATCTAAATTCAACAAAATACCCTCACTGCCATTCCACTCTGCCCTCCCCAAATCTCTTGCGAGTGCCAACCCCCCCCGAGGGGCAACATGTTCGGGTGACTCTCAACTCAGAGGGCCTCCTGCAGAGAACACCCCACAGCCAGTGTCCCTCTCCCTCGGTCAGTGCATGGGGCTCCAACTCCAGCAGCTCTGCTGGTCTCCCTGTCGCACTGACTGACACAGCAGGCAGGACTACCCCAGGGCATTTACTGCTTCAGAGAGAACATGAAAACCAGCAGAGGGGCAACATGTTCGGGTGACTCTCAACTCAGAGGGCCTCCTGCAGAGAACACCCCACAGCCAGTGTCCCTCTCCCTCGGTCAGTGCATGGGGCTCCAACTCCAGCAGCTCTGCTGGTCTCCCTGTCGCACTGACTGACACAGCAGGCAGGACTACCCCAGGGCATTTACTGCTTCAGAGAGAACATGAAAACCAGCAGCTTAAAGCCCATGCAGAGCAGGCAGGCAAAGCAGACCCTGGAGCACCAGTCCAATGTGGAGTCCGCACGACACTCTAGTGACTCTGCTGAACAGCAGGGAGAAAGCTGCTGCCAGGGGCAGTGCAGCTTCCTCACTGCTGGGCACCCCCTATCAGAGGCGGCCTGAAAAAACAGAGGGGGTATGACCTGCCTGCCCCTCCCCCATGTGTGGCCTCATGCCCCTGAGCTACATTAAGAGCTTCTCACTGCTCACTGCAACGTCAAGTGTCCTTGGGTTTGTTCCTCAGCTATTGTAGAACATCGATTTGAACCTTTTAGGGGCAAGAATAACATCTTTGCTATATTATACAGCCCCAAGTAACACTCAGTAATACACTAGAATAACCTTAAAGATTATTTCCACAGATACAGAGAATGAATGAATTGTCACACTGAAGGCATGTCTACGCGAGGAAATTATTTCAAAATACTGAAAGTTGAAATAATAGCTCCCGAAATAACTATTTCAAAATAAGTTAACCCATGTTATTAATTCAAAAATTAATTGTAATTAATTGCACTGTTGAACAATAAAATACCAATTGAAATGTATTAAATATTTTTGGATATTTTTCTACATTTTCAAATATATTGATTTCTATTACAACACAGATTATAGAGTGTACAGTGCTCAATTTATATTATTTTTTACTACAAATATTTGCCCTGTAAAAATGGTAAACAATTTGTCCCATATAAGTACTGCAGGAACATCTCTTTATCATGAAAGTGCAACTTACAAATATAGATTATGTAGATTTTTTTTGTTACATAACTGTACTCAAAACCAAAAAAGTGTAAAACTTTAGAGCCTACAAGTCCACTTAATCCTACTTCTTGTTCTGCCCATCACTAAGACAAACAAATTGGTTTATATTACATGAGATAATGCTGCTCTCTTATTTACAATATCACCTGAAAGTGAAAACAAATGTTTGCCTGGCACTTTTGTAGCCAGTGTTGCGAGATATTTACATGCTAAGATACACTGAACATTTGTATGCACCTTTATGCTTTGGCCACCATTGCAGAGGACTTGCTTCCATGCTGATAATGCACATTAAAATGCATTAACTAAACTTGTTGAACTCTTTGGGAGAGGATTATATGTTTCCTATTCTGCTTTACCTCCATTCTGCCATATATTTCATGTTATAGCAATCTTGGATGATGGCCCAGCACATTTTTGTTGTTAGAACACTTTCGCCACTGATTTGAAATAACACAATGAAGATATAAAGCTGCAGAGGGGTAGCCGAGTTAGTCTATAACAGGAAAAACGTAAGAAACAGCAAATAGACTAGTAGCATCTTAAAGACTAACAAACCACGTAGCTGGTATCATGAGCTATCTGAAGAAGTGGGCCCATGAAAGCCAGCTACATGTTTTGTTAGTCTTTAAGGTGCTACTAGACTATTCGTTACAATGACAATACTGTGAGATTTCTAAGGTTAGCTACAGCAAGCAATTCCAGGTGTAAGAATCTGAAGTGCTGTCCCAAGTCTGAGAAGGACAAGATGTAGCACAGTGATTCCCAACCTTTTTCCCATGGAGGAACCTCTAAAGTAATTTTTCATATCCCGAGGAACCCCTACCTATGAAAACATTTGCTTGGCCAGAAAAAGTTGACAGTGGGGAGCGCAATTCAATTACTGCTAAATTATTGTCAAGAACATTTATTTGTAAAGAGCTGTTTTATATATATATATATATATGTCAGCTTACATTGTAAGAAAACATTTTTGCATTTGTTTATTCCACGATTTCTTGCAGAACCCCAGACAATGGTCTGCGGAACCCCAGGGTTCCGCAGGACCCAGGTTGGGAAACACTGGTGTAGAGTATGCTTTCAAAAGTCTTAAAAGAGCAGCATTCTGATGCAGAAACTACAGAACCCGAACCACCAAAAACGAATCACGACCTTCTGCTGGTAGCATCTGACTCTGTAACCAGACAGGAACCCCCCCCCCCCCCTGTAACATCCATCTTAGGTGCCTGGAGCATACAGGGCACACAGAGCAGTAAAATCAGCATAGTCTTTGAAGCCTTGACAGAAGGCCCGGATATGCTGGCTGCTGTGACCCTGGATGGCTATAAACAGAGATACGCCAATTGTTGACCTCGAGGCTGCGAGAACTGCCTTGGCTGAAACCTATATTGATACGAACACACAGCCGTCCACAGGCGGGGGCGGGGGGGCGAGGAATCTCCCGCCCAGTAAAGAATGTCCAGTACTCACAATTTAGTTCTCTCTCTTGCAAGTGTAAATTAAGTTGAAACTCCCTTGTAAGAACTGGCATCACAAAGACGGACCAACACAATTTGGCATCTTAGATAAGAAAGAGGATACGGGCCCCTATGGGTATAAAGATGGGTCCAGCAGCACACTTACTCTGAGCGTCAATCTACCATCTATCTGCTGGTCGGGTTAGGAAACTGGCCTCCCGAGGTTCCATGGGGACGCCCACCTCGTATTCTTCTTTCTGAGGAATTGAGGGACCAGCCCTGGCCTGACACGCTGGAGTCGAGAGGTACAGAAGGGGGTAAAAATTGTACCTGGATGTGTCCTTTGTCTTAAGTGTACACATAGACTTAGAGCTTAAAGACTTAAAGATTAAGCTGTCACTTGGTACCATTATTTCTATTTTCTATTTTTATTTTCTTTGTAACCATTTTTAAGACCTATATTTGCTAGCAGTTAAGAAATAGAGCAATAGCCATTGTAACCTTCTGATTTATAAGCTTCTTTAATAAACCTGTAACTGCTTAAGTTTTAACCTGACTCCTTCAGTTGCTGTAACAGAACCAAGCACAGTTTAAAAGAACCCCAGCCAGTCATAGGGATACAGGCAGAGCTGGGCATTTGGATTGTGTCGCCTCCAGGGGGCAGATCCGTAGGGACATCTGTCAGCCTTCCATAGGCTGCCCGCTGCGGAGGGACTGTGGTCCTAGCAGCTAAAGACACGGGTGTAATAAGCTCTCCTTGTAAACTCTGGGGCGTCTGTCAGCCTGTTGGCTGCCCGCCGCGAAAGGACCCCGATCCTAGCAGTCAAAGACACAGACGTTAAACTTTTCAGGGCACCCGTCAGCCTCCCTAGGCTGCCCGCTGCGACAGGACCTTGTGTCCCAGCAGTTGAAGACTCGGGTGTAACATACACACACACACTGCCCTGACTATCGGCTGACAGACTCATGTGATGAAAATGAACATGTGTGGGTCTGGTCTGGTTTGAACTGTTATCAAGCAGAACTCATCACACCACGGACTCAAGTCCTCTGGAATGGTGGCTGAGGCAGAAAGGGACACGTGAATCTTTGGTACATCTGGTACGTACGATCTTGCAATGCCTCATACAACAGTGCCATGCAAAGGCCTGTTCCCCACGGGTGGGGAACTGATTTTTTTGAAAAATCAGACGGCGCCTCACACAAATGAGAAGCAAAAAACCCCTCACTAAGGTGGCCCCTGAGGCTACATCTTCACTGCCAGTTCTTCCTGCAGAAAATATGCTAATGAGGGGCTCATTAGCATAAGTCGCAATCTCATTAGCATATTTTCTTCTGTTTCTTTTTGTGCAAGGGGTTTTTGCGCAAAAAGAAGCAGTGTGGACTTTTTTTTTGCGCAAAACCCTTTCCTGGAGAGGCATAAGGATTTTGTTCAAAACGGGTTTTGCACAAAAAAACCCCGTCCACATTAGCATATTTTCTGCCAGAAGAACTGGCAGTGAAGACGAAGCCAGACTGAGAAGCAGAAAGACACGCCCCACATTCCCCTCACACCCCAGAGCCTAGGGGGCCCAGGCTAGTAGAGCGTGTGTGCTCCAGCCTCACAGGGAGATGATGGAGGAGCTGGAGTGCCAGCACGGGATCCCCAAGCTGAGGGGGAGAGCCCTGAGCCTTGGAGACTGGATCCAGGCAAGCTGGGGGTCACATACGGCCCCGGACCTCAGGTTCCCTCCCTCTGTGGTAAACAGAAAGCAGGCAACATTATCTCCTGCAAATTGCAACCAAACTTGTTTGAGCGATTGGCTGAAGAAGTACAACTAAGTGCAGTTATTGGCGCTAAAGTTTGAGACTGTTTAATTTTTGAATGCCGCTATTTTTTGTACGTAACTCTATACTTGTAAGATCAACTTTTATGATAAGGAGACTGCACTAGAGTCCTTGTACTAGGTGAATTGAAAATACTACTTTGATTTTTACAGTGAAAATTTAGCAATAACGATAAAGTGAGCACTTTACACTTTGTGTTGTGTTATAACTGAAATTAATACATTTGAAAATGTAGAAAACAGCCAAAATATATGAATAAAGGGCATTATATTATTTAACAGCGCAATTAATTGTGCAATTCATCAGGATTAATTTTTTAAATTGTTTGACAGCCCTAGCTGCAACAGTGTGACCAGGCTTGTGCGGAGAAATGCTGCTTTAGCTACTGCTGCTATCGGATCCACTAAAAGCAGCCTCAGAGCCAGCATTCCCTGCCTATTGCAAACGTGTAAGTGGCCTGCCCTGGGGGAGGTACTGATATAATCTCTGCCATCTTTTCTGGTTGTTCCCTCCCACCTAATCTCAGCCTTAGGGGCTGGATAGCTCTGCTACGCCCCAGCCTCCACCCAGCTCTGGCTAAAGCACTCAGCTGACCCTGTGCGGCGTAGTGCAAGGGAGACAAGCCAGGATCTTGAAACATGCTCGAAGCCACTCAGGAGCAAAGGGCGAGAGCACCAACCGCTGGGGGCTCTGCTAATGGGACAAGGATACTTAAGGGCATGTTTTTCAGCTCTCTCAGTGCCTTGTGATCAGCAGTCTTCCAGGCAGCCTGGTGCTACCAAGTCCCTCTCTCCCGGGCTAGGCCACCTGCACAATCAACGTCATTTCATTCACTCCACCGGTGCTGGACACTTTTACACCTGCTAGGGAATCTGGCCCTCTCACCTCCACTGGTGCTGGGCCCGTTTACACCTGCCGGGGAAATGGCCCCAACTCCTACATCTATGTCTTGCCGATTTTGAGGCTCCAGTTACGCACCGGTGGCCTTCTCACACGCTGACCCAGGCGTTACCTTAAATAAATGGTAGGAGTCACTGGCAGTGAACCGGACTCGTGAGCGCCTCCTGCTGGGCCGCCGCCAGGGATCCATGAATACAAAGCTCTCATGGAAAAACGGACAGTCACTTGGTGCGGGCTCTCGCGCCAGGGCAGGAGAGTCTCCTTGGGGAAAACGGGGGAGCAAGCTATAGACCTAAAAATAAACAGAAAACGTCAGTCCTGGGAGCGAAGCCAGGGCCCAGTTCTGGCCCCTTCCCTCACTAACACATCTCCCCAGCCCTGGCCCTGGGGCCCAGCCCAGCTCCCGTGTGGGCCTCTCTTGCTGCAGCTCCCCCACGTCCATTCCGCACTGTCACCCAGGCAAGGGGCAAATCCTGCTGCCGCAGAGGAATGGAGGCTCCCACAATGCACCTGACCCACTATCCCCTGCTAGACTTGGGGGCAGAGAATTCTCCTTCCCCTGCCCCTGGGGACCAGCTCTGCCCCGGAGAGCGAGCTCCGGTTTCCCCGGCCATTATCTCAGCTCCGAGCTCCGTGTGCCCAGCCAGAGCCGGGTGAGGGGAATTGGGGGGGGCGCTGCAAGGGCTGATGGGAGATCAGACAAGGGAAGTGGGGACCCCACAGAGTCAGGGGGCCAAGTGCCATTGGAGCAGCCCTGTGACCAGGAGAGGTGGCCTCGAGGGGTGTCCCCCAGTGGCCGTGCATCGCCCCTCCTGCGAGGGGGGAGGACTCGTCGGGGGAGGGGTGGGGCGAATGGCCGAGCTGCTCTGGACTCACCGTGTCGACGCTGAGCTCGGCCTCAGGCTTCACGAGCAGCACGCTGCGATCCACGGCGCGGACGGCGCACAGGGACCCGGGGGCAGCCTGCACCTGCAGCTGGAGCTCCGAGCCTGGCAGGGCCCGGTCCTGCGAGAAGGCCAGCTTCACCTGGCGAGGCACAGGGCATCAAGAGGGAGGCAGGCCCTGCGTGTCACTCTGGCCCCAGGCCCTGCTGGCCGAAAGCCCGGGGCTATGGGAGTCGCGCTGGGGTGTGAGAGACAGCCCAGGCTCATTCAGTGTCCCTGTGTGGCTCCCAGCTATAAAATCATTTGTTTTAAGATGTATGGATTTGTCATGTTTAAAGGTCAAGGCCTTAATCATGCAGTGAGCACCAGTCAGGCACACAGAGTTCATTACAGGATTGGAGCCTTACAGGCTTAATTGTCAACTCTTGTTCATCTTGGGTAGACGCTTTTGCACAGCAGCTGTAAATTGTTACCAATTCTGAATGTCTGTATTTTACATCCGGTTGGACTCATTCTCCACTGATGTATGTGGCTATGCAAAGTGCAAGACAGTGGAGTATCAGGTCCTGAATCTAGGGTTGCCAGATGGTTGAACCAAAACAAACACTGGGGAAAAAATTCTGTTGAGGGGAAAAAAAAGCCGGGGGGGAGACCCAAAGTTGTTGAGCAAAAAAAAGATTCTGACTTATTAAGCAAAAATAGAACATAAAAAATAAATAATAAAACAGCTGGGCCCCTGTCAGAGTGAGCGCAGAGTTAGAATGGGGATAGGAACAGGGGCACGGTTGAGCCCTAAGACCCAGGGAAGCATTGCTTCCCCTTCGTCTTTAGGCTTTTTGCTGGTGGCCATTTTGTGTTCTTGTTCAAGCCAGAACTTAGCTTCCCTGCAGAACCTGGTAAGCACAGGAACC